TGAGGACGACACATTTTCAAGTGTATTCTCATGTACTCTTGCCATAGAATCTTCTATTAAAAAGTACTGTTGTGGTTTTGGACAAGAGTACATTACAGCAAGCACAGCGGTTTTAAACACTCATTTTACAGATGAAATAATGATTGATTCACACTGAGAGACCAAGACACAATGACTCATTTCTGTCAAATTCCATCATTTTCTAAAGATGTTTCATCCTATTCTGTCTCTCACCTCAATCTATGTGAAAATGAAATGAAATGAAACAAAAAATTAAATAATAAAACCTGCACTCACTTAAAAAGTCAGAGCTATGGAAATCGCAACTAACTTTTTTTTAGCACTAGTAGGCCTGAAATGGTTTTGTACATCATGTTGAAAGGCATTGAATGCCTTGTAATGGAAGGCAGCTAATTATACAAAACTCTGTGAACTACAGATGAAGACATATATATGACGTATAGGTCCAAACGATTTAACCGTATATCATATGGAGTCAGGACATCAGATAAAAAAAAAAACGGCATTAAGGGACCTACTACACTAAAGATCGCTTTGTTTATGGCCTAAATAATGGTAGTGGAATAGTTTTTCTCAGACGATAGAAGCTCCGCCCACTAGAAGGAGCTCAGCGTTATTTGGTCATCTTTGATCCACAGTCTTACAATAGACAGCACACAATTTCCACAGACCGATATACAATTTACAAACATTAGGCTATGTATACAGAAAAAACTAAAATGTAGTTCGTCCCAAAAGTTCTTGACCACACTTCCCTCAGGGAATGCACTAGACATCACTGTGATAACGAATATTAGTCATTATGAGGTTCTGACTGGGTTTTTTTTCTATCAGGACACACTCGTTCAGTTAACAATAAACACGAGTGTGCTTTCATTGTAAGCATGTTGCTGCTATATTTAAAGCAACTGTATGTAGTTTTGTGTATTTGTTGGTGGCTTGGTGCTGTAAAGCAATCCGCCCTTTTCGCGGGAATTCGTACCTGCTGTTCACCAAATTCACATAGCACGGACGTTTGGGAGGGAGCGTGGAAAACAAACAACAGCCATTCGCCTTATTAAGAGTCAGCTTACCATCAGAATGATTTTGAAACCGATATTTCAAGGTAAAAACGTACATACTTTTGCTTTAAATAAAGTTAACATGAACATTTTGCTGCAGTCAGACGATAAGGTTAACCAAGGCATCTTCATGCAGAAGTGGACATTTTGCGCTAAAATAAACCTGTTTAGTTGCACTTGAGCAAATGCCATTAACAAATGGTACCAGTACAGTTCATTCAGTGATGTCATCACTGATGTCATGATCATATGTATACCACCTCACTATCTTTACTGACAGATAGACTTGGCTTTTCTTATTTTACTTCCCTCCCCCGATTAACCCTTCACATCCTCATATTCCTTCAGAGAACACAAATACTCGCACACTCACAGTAGAACCACCCATTTGTCATTCACACGTACATATACACAATGTACAAGTACACATAAGTAGTTAGATTACAGCTCAGTAACTAATGAAACGCTGAAGCACATGCCCCACAGAGCAATGCTGACCCCTGATTAGTCCTGCACATGGCCATCTTTTTTTCTTTTTGCTAAGGAAAACAAGATGAAAAGCTAGAAGCCGAAGTAGATGAAGAGGGATGAATCTCATTAAAGAACGTATGTTGGTCATATTTCACCCCAAAATAAAAAGAAATAAACAAAAAATTTAGAATATTCTTAAAAATAAATAAATTGCAGATTTTTTACAATCATTACTTTATTTGAAAAAGAACTTACACTCACTTCAAGAGTCAGAGCTATGAAAGTCTCAACTAACGTGAAGAATAACAGGATTTTCGGAGCACTTGTAGGCCTGAAATGCTGTCTAAATTTAGCTATTTTTTTTTTTACAATCATTATTTTTTAATTCCAAAACTATTTACATGACAATTAAATATATCATTTCGGTAATGCAAAAAAAATTATAATATATCATGTTTTTTTTTTGTTTTTTTTTGTCGAACCAATTCATGCTGATTTAAATGTAAACAATTATTGTATTACAATAAAATGTGCAAAATTGGCACCAAAAACAATGTAACAAATCCCCAAAAATTATAATGGTCCTAAAATAGGTTATAATGGTTTTTTTTCTTCTATTTTTGTCTTTTTTGTTCCCCCTCTTTTTTTCTTTTGACTTTGGAGTTAAATGTGACATGGATATGTTTTCGTGAGATTCAGTCTGAAGGAATTTTGAGTGTTTAAAACACGAATGCAACTCAGAAATGATCGGAGGATGAAAAGATGGATAAAAGAAATTTGACTAGTTTTGGAAGAGCATCAGTTAGGCGTAAAACAGAAGTCAAACATAAAACAAAAATAATACTTGAGAAATCCACATTTTACTGCGGAGTGTCATGGAGAATGGATCAAACAGAGATATAAACAGACATACGACACAAAGGAAGATGTTGCCAGAATCAATCTCCTTATGAAATGAACAAAGGAGAACAAGTCTGATGAAATATATAACTCATCTGCCTTTTATTATCTTTCACAGCATTGTAACCAAGAGGCACCACGTTCTCTGACACAGTGAGAGAGAAGCAGGCGCAGGTCCCCAGACCAGCACACATACACAGCTACTGTTAATCAAGGCATTTTAAGAAGTTCCCCCAGAACTTTAGACTTCATACAAGTCTTTCCTTTTAAGATATGAAAATACTATACTATCAAATAAAAAGTTAAAACTACTTTTAAAGTCTCTTCTGCTTGTACAAACAAGTAGATTATCAATGCAAATACAATCAGTTCAAAGCAAATGACATGATAATGTTAGTTACACTGACAAACAAACATGAAGTGAAATGCTCAAACTTCCGCATTTATAAATGCTCGATGTAAAATGAAATCAATGGAACGAGAATTAAATCATACACGTGAGCAAGGCCAAAAATCATTACAGTATTATCTCACCAAAAACATCAGCAAGTCACAAAATACAGCAGTGCATCTCTTCAATGAAATCTCCCTTTTCGGAAGAAAAGTCACAAAAAATATATAATAAAATACACATTTTAGACACAATTAGGACTTTCCACACAAATTAGTGCTTTGGGTCTGTAATACACATTTGTGACCCTGGACCACAAAACCAATGGTCAATTTCTGAATAAATAAGCTTTGCATTGATGTATGGTTTGTTAGGATAGGACAATATTTGGCCGAGATACAACTATTTGAAAATCTGGAATCTGAGGGTGCAAAAAAATCAAAATATTGAGAAAATCACCTTTAAAGTTGTCCAAATGAAGTTCTTAGCAATGCATATTACTAATCAAAAATAAAGTTT